GAAACGCAAGAGCGAGAGTTCGGTCACGAGAAGATACTCTCTGTGCTGTATCGTACCAATGGTAGTTCATGGAACGTAATCGAGACGTGTTGGCATCACCATGGGACGTGTGGCATGACCACTGCAAAAAACTAAGCTCCAAATTCGAGCACGGGTTTTCCACTGCAGCGCACGATAAGGAGCACACGCAGCTGATCACAGGATGATACGACACAATAAGGTTTATGGCTCTCGTTAAGGTGACAGCTTGCCGCGGCCAGAGTGTGCAATTAGAGCATGTTGTGGACATGGAGCTTAGTTTTTAAAGGACGAGTATGGCGCGACGGTAGTGAAGAAGGAAAAGTCCAATTGGGTAGATAACAGACACAGTGATAACTTGCTATATCTTCTGAATAACTAGTGCATATATGCACCAGGTTGGAGTTGGCGCTAGCCGTGGATCGCAACATTGGGAGGACAGACATCAGACATCGGAAGCGCGGAACCTGTAAGTCAAAACATGTAGATCAGAGAGAAACAAGGGGGTGTCTGGCAGCAGCCGAGAGTTCCAGAGAATGAACCAAACCAGGATGCATGAAGAAAGAAAGCAAGTGGTAGTGACTACCAAAAACGCGCTAGTCACTGATTGTCACGGTACTTGTACCTACTCTCTTCGTTTTATGAATGTTTTTTATGGTGTTCGTATTGGTATATCTTACAGGTCTCATGACACGATATTTGCATAGAATAGACTGCGATTGGTACGATAAAGTACGCCTGGACCCGAACTATCGGTGTGGCATCTCGTTTCGCGGTCCGGAGAATCTTCGGAGAAATGCAAAGACTGTTTCGTGAAGACTCAAGCATGGAACCAGGGACGGCCGCTGACATGAATTAGTCCCCTAGAACCTTATGATGATTAAAATTGGTATCGAGAGTTCCCAGGGGCTGACGGACCCACACAACAGATCTTGGACTTATGTAATACATGACTACCACCACAACAAACGTCGCCAGCCGTCCAGCACTTCGGGACTCTTCGCCCCCAAGGCTGCCCACCCCATAAGATCCCACCAACTTGAATTCTGCCAACATCAAGGGGACGGACGAAGGGTTTGACGAGGGTACAGCCAGCGAGAAAGAGGGCGAGGACAGCGAGGATGAGTGGTCCGAGACCCTCACTTTCGAGTACATGGTGGCGCACGAACCTTTTACCGCCCTCCCTGTCAAATACCTGCTTTTCACCGGGTGGGCCCTTGCTCCTCCACAGTTTGCCCTTGGCATCGGCGTCGATGACATGCATGAAGGCTACGACTTGGCTCACCGTCTCGCGCCAAATGAACCTGTCAAGGACTCTAGCATGCTCCTCGCCGTACTCATCCATCGGCTCAGGGACCGTACGAACCTGATGGTTCGAGCGACGCCAGTTCGTTCAAAGGAGGTTGGATTCGTCTTCTATATCACGACGTCCTGGGATGACGACTTCACCGAGACACCAGCCCAGCGCGATACCATGAACGCAATGCTCCGCGAGATCAACTGGAGGGAAGACACTAAATGGTACATCGTGGGGACCTGGGCGGATAAGTGGCGCGAAGACTACAATAGACCCGTATTGGATCGCGATGCATAGTTTCTTTACCAAGTGTTTTCGCCCTGTAAGCGTCTGTATGCTGCTGAATGAAGCACACGATAACCTAATTCATTTCAGGAAATGCCGGATTCTCCGTGGCATTTTTTACAATGCCGCTACTTTACCCACTACCGTCATCAATTTCTTATTTTTCTTTCGCCTTCCACTAGCTCATATGCTCGCAATATGTAGTTGATCATCGGAAGGTTGCATATTGGGCTCAGGGCGCAACATTTTTAACTCCTTTTCGCTGTTTCAGAAATTTCGTTCGCGCTATCCAGCATCTGGATCACATTTTGCTGTCACGCTTCTCAGATTTTGTGTTAATGCGTGCTGTAGAATGCTCTTTGCCCTTTAGCTCCGGTTGCATTATGGGCAGACAGTCCTGCAACGGAGGACTACTTTAATCACATCTGTATCATGTCCCTTCGAAGCCATTTAACTTCGTGAGATGTGTTTGGTCCGGAAAATCAACGATATTCACAGTGGTATGTGTTATTCGGCTTATTGTAGTGACCACCGTCTCTCGCCTCGTTTTGGCGGCGAGGAAGATACGATTCACTTCTTTCTTTTTCCCGTTCGTTCATGGGGGGCTTTTAATTGCCTGTAGGAACATGTACTGTCAGTGATAGAAATAATGAGGCAAAATCTTCATTGAGCGAGGATGTATGTACATAAAATACGCTTATCCGACTTGATGCCATATACCTAATTATCTTCAGAGTAAAACACATTTCAAACATATAGACTCAAGAATCAAGAGGCACAAAAAATTGAATCACTGCGTGATGGGAAAGGGGTTCATAGCACGTGATCGCGTTGATGACCACAATGCCAACAGGCTCCAATCCCCACCTTCAAGGCCTTGACCTCTCGCCACCATGAACCGTCCTCAACAAACCGTATTTTCGCGCCTGAAGAATCTTAACACGCTTGCTATCAACACTTTCGGTTCTTTCTTCTCTACTGCTGCTAATGACAATGAGGACGACGAAACGATCTTAAGCGACGAAATCTGGGATCCTGCTTCTGACTTTCACGCGCGCGCATATACGCCTACTACTCTGACGCCTGCTCGCGAATGCCTACTAAAACTCTCTCGACCTTGCTCTATAAGTACCCGCGACTATGATGATATCCCGCTTGAAGACCTCTCACGAACTACTTTCTCTGACGACACGCCACCTCTGACGCCTGCAGCTGAACATGGACATTCTCTTGAAATTCGCTTGGGAAAGCAACCCGTTCGAGAAATGGTATGTCTCGCGCTTCGTATATGCGCGCGCCCTGCTTACCTGCACTTAGTGGGAAGATGAAGACGAATGGTATGGCTTGGAATACACCCTAGAGATGAGTAGGCGTGCTTCGAGTGGGTCAGCTGGGGAAAATTCTCGGGTATGTGAACGCATATACACCTCTTTGCAGCACATATTCATCCTTGGCGTAGAGTCGTGAATCGTGGGCAGCTCTCCAAGATGATTCGGACGAAGTGGCATACAAAGAATGGCAGCAGTGGCGCACGTACCTCGATTACCGCCGGGCAATTGAGTACGATGGATATTCGATGAATATGGCGTTGTGGTACGTTGAGGAGAGGGCGCTGTGGAACGTGTATCACTGGGAGCTGGTGAGTTTGGCCAATATTGATCCGGAACATGCTTTGAGCAAGAGAATAGGACGAATACGGCTATGTCAGTGAGGAAGTGAAGGAGCGCCTGGCACAATGCCCTCCGGATCCGTATTATCCTAGGCGCCAGAAGAACCTTGGGTGGTACTTGAAGAAGTCGAGGTCGATTGGATGCTTGAGGGAGCTGGAACCTGTGGTTTTGTAAACTGTTGGTCTTGTAAAAAAAAACTGCATTGCAACATAGAATACGACATAGAATTGCCTGCTAACTGTTAGAAAAGTCGATAAAACGAGGAAAATACACACCTAAATCCGCCTCATCTTCTTTGCTCTTGTTCCTCCAATTTTTATCGGAGTCCGATCCGTCATATACAAGATTCTTCTCCTCACTGACTCGCCTTCAGTGCTCGCCAGCGTCTGCACCAGCGTGTTCCTCCCCAGTCCAAAGCCTTTCAAAAACAGGTGCACATAAAACTCCGTACCCTCCGTCACCGCCAGAATCTTCTCAAATATCTTGACAGACGCAGCGTACGCGCCCTCGGGTGACCCTCTCCTGGTGTTTTTGAATCCACATGAGCCTGCAGAGGCCCATGCCTTGACGCAACCGTCTGGGGTAGTGAAAGTGAGGAGGGTGTTGTTGGGGGTGGCCTGGCAGTGCAGACGGTAGACGGGCCAGTTTCGGCGGTCTACGGGGTCGAGAGGTGTTGCTGGTTTTTCTTGATGAGAAGGGGCGGAGGGTGGTAGACTGGTGTCGATGGCGGAGGGGGCGGGAGGTACAGATTTGGAAACGGCGGTGGAGGCGGTAAGGTCGGCATTGAGCTCGCCGATGACAGAGTCGATAGTGTGCGCCCCGCCGCCACCGACGACGGAGCGGGTCTGTAGTGCTGCTCGGGGTAGTAGACGGCGAAGAGCAAACATGAAAATTCCCGATTAGGTAACTCACTCTTCTCCTCTTTAACCCTTCCACCATGTCGGTATGTCCTGGCTTTGTCTCTCGCGACGATTTGTTCCACTAACCCCGCCTTGGGATAGTTCTCGACTACGCTGTACAACACCTTCTTCAAGCGGAACAGTACGTCTCTATCACCTTTGGCCGCCCTTCGACACTGACCTCGTTAGGCGTGTACGTTGCTACCGTATTTGCTGGCGCATTCGGATTCGGTATTGGGTTCGACGTTGCCTTGAACTCTTTCTATGACCGCTGGAACAAGGGGGTGCGTGCTTCGCTCTTTCTGTTCTCCTTCACATGGGCTCAACCCTCGATGTAGAAACAATGGAAAGATATTCGTCATAAATACGTTGAAGCTGCTGAAGAGTAGATTATTCTCCCTTGTTCGTCGAATTTAAAACCAGCGACAGTGTTACTTTGACTGGGACTACTTGAACGTCAGAAAATTGGAATCCCTTGACGAATGAGGCGCTGTTTATTGGTGGGATCGGGAGTAACCGGGTTGCTTCTTGTCCGTGTCGCGTTATCTGTATTTCACGTTTCTCTTCACAGCCATCACGTCCTTCTGGATCATCTCCTATCATCTCGCATCCTTTGATACCTTACTCACCCCACTTGTTCGTGAACTCAAGCCCATTCATTCACATATTTTTTTTTTCCAGCGGCGAATTACAACAATAAGAATAGTACATAATTTACTCCAATCTGGAAGAACCCGATGCTACGCCTTCTTCCTCTTCTCTACCCTTTGGTTCCCGACTGACCCATTTCCAACGTCTGTCCTGTTTGACCGCGTAGACCGGCCTATCATATCACCTGGTACCAGTCTGAGAAGCAGCAACATCACTGTTCTCTCCTGTCCGCCGAACCTTCGATGCGCGCTCCTCATTCGAACCCTCGTCTTTATCAATCTCATCAATAGACTTCTTAGTTGCGGTACCCCTTGGAGGGACATATTCACCAGAATTGTCGACATTGTTTTCAGGAGGGTCATAGTCGGCATAGTTCTCTTCTTTGAGACCATCGAGTGCCCATTCGACCTCATCATCCTCAACGCCTTCATGTGCGGGCTGGTCTTCCAGTTGAAAGAGTTGAATGTCCGTGATAGCTTCCATAATTGCCTTCTCCAGGATTCGTTCGAAATGTCGTTCTTTGAACGGATCGGGAAAGTGTTCGTATTTGGGAAAGTGTTCCTGATCCTCCGCAGATATGTAGGCTGTGTAGAGGAGTTGGCGAAGGAATTCGAGTTCCTCTGCTACAGGCCGAAATTCGTCTGGAAGACACGAGGTAAAAGCAGCATATTCTTCCGGTTCTTTAAGAAAGGTAAAGCGTGCCCTAGACCCCTCGGCATAATGCGCGAATAAGACATTGAAGCTTTCCCTCTGTAGCTGCTGGGTGTCTTGATCCCTTTCGATCGCCAGAGGCTCTGTGGTAAAGAACGAATGAATACCTATCCACCAAAGCGACTCCACGTCATGATAGAAATTATGAAGGAAAGGTGTCCGAGGGCGAGGTGGCCCCGGCGCCACGACAACTCGTTGCGCCGAGAACGACTCCACTCGCGAGAACACTGTGGCATAGTCGGATCCTTGCATTTTTTTGAAGAGATACTGTGTATCCTGAACTTCCACGGCCATGAAAATGGGTGTTCCCTGCATTCAGAAAATTAGATACGAAAGCACATCTGATAATGTATACGTACTGTTTTGGGATCACTTTTTGGACCTTCAGATAGAAACTCCTTGGAATATTCCAGATATCTTTCCTCTGTTGCCTGAACAAAGTAAAATATTCCCTGACGATATGTCTCTGTGAACGTAGGAAGCGATGTATAGATATCCCAACCCTGAAAAGATGGTTTTAGCCGATGACAAATGACAAATAGAAAAGGATTCTGACCTCTACAGGCATGGAGGAGTCCAGTGAATAGCATTTTCTGATCCTCGACCTTATCGAGGGGATTACCAACTTCGGCGAACAGAACCCGAACGTGTTTACATCCAGTATACTCCCGCTGTGGATGATGTTTTTGAATTCGACCAGATAAATGGCCTCCTACGGAGTCGGCAGTATTTGAGAGACTCGATGTCGATCGTTTCGATGCCGCAGAAGAGCTCAGCTGACGTTTGACATCATACATTCGGTATGGGTCCGATAGAGGTGGTATGGCATCTTCCGTTTTGTCGATGCGAGTCACCACCTCGCATGCCTTGATTTCCATGAAGTACTGTTTATAGACCGAGGGATCCTTCTTCGCCTCAGGATCATTAGCTTCGATCCGCTCGAAGATATCCTTCTAAATCTCGCTCTCCGTCCGCGAGGTGAAGGGCATCCAAAAATCCTTGAGTGCACATTCCTGCTGCTTCTTCCGATCCCCGAGTTTTCGAACAGTCCACACTCTAGTCGCACGAGATAAGATACGCGATGCTCGAAAAGAGCTCAGGCATTCAACTGTCCGGTACGTCTCCCCGTCGATGAGATAATCATACTGAATCCGATAACGAGCTGGACTGGCTTTGAGCGGGACTGCTACTCTCGTGATTGTGAAATCGTAGCCTAGTTGTTCCGTGCTGACAAACGACATCGATACAACGTAGTTTATCAAGTGATGATACTCCTAGAGTAATGTCAATCAATGCCCGTCGGCGAACAAAAATATATCCACGTACCAAAACAAAATTAAAGGGTTGTGACCCGAGTACCATAGCTCTTGAGAAGAACCAAAGCCGGGTCGTAGTATTCGCGATCGTCATTCCAAACATGAACCGTCGGCAAGGATCAGCATACATCATCTGGGCCGCATTCCCAAGAATTTTCTTGTTATTCTGCACATCGTACGTAGTCGTCAGCTTTGGCCAGTCATCGAACAGTGACACGTCGCCTACATCGTTTTCGTCTTCCCAAGTGTCCTTGAGTTTGTATTCCTCAATCTCAGCACGGTCGCATGCCAATGCAGCCTGTGATGCAGGGCAAATCAGAAATGGAAACAGGAATAAAATAATGCTCGCCTTGCGTTCATACGGGCACGGCTTTCCGTACTCGGTAGAGGACTCATTACTTACAACGCGGGCACCCTTGGACTCACACAACGCGTAGTGGCCATCAGATATGAACTGGCCGTTGTGACCTTCAGAAAGTGCGGCTTGCGTTGGCCGGGTCTGCATTACCGCAGTCGGGTTGTGGTCCAGCAAAACTTTTGCCTCTTTGACAATAGCCGCAGCGATAGTTTTAAAACACGTATTCTCTTTCGCCTCCATGCAAGGGTCGATAGGGAACAGAGTCCACCGTCCGCTCGGTTGAAGATGTCCGTTGGCTTGTAAAAGAGTGGTAATGTCGTCAATCTGTGTGGAGCTGATGACCTTGGGAAGGACGGAGCGCTGAAACGCGTCAAGAGATATAGACGGTACACTTCGGACCTCAGGCCTCATCCAGGATAGAACCATCCATTGTAGATTCGATGCGGGTATTACTATCGGTGATGAGAGCGTGACGGGGCACGTCCTTGATTGCAGGGGGAACACACTAATTGGTAGAGAGCTATCCGACATAGTGGACGACACTGTTAGAGAGAACAAATCGAAGACTTCTATTTCATACCGGCGAATGAAAACACGTGACCACTACAGGCAATCAAGCTGCTTTCTTCTGATTTTGAGCGAAATGCAAGGAACAAGGTAAAATTGTACAATGTTCGTTGACAGGAGACGTCAGAGAGAGAGACAGCGGCGGTTTCGGGATTGTAGGTTATACACGATCAACGATCGCCGCCAAATTATGCCACACAGCCAAGGTATCACTTAGCAACTGCTATATTCACTTCATTCATCCCTCAAATTTTCGCAATAAAACATGTCTCTGCAGTAATGCCCAAAGATCATCGGCGTGGAGTCTGGACTGTTCGTGTGCCAGATTAATCACGATCATTGCTTTTCAATCCAATCTGACTAGTGCTACTTAGTGAGGAGCTGCTCATTGGTGGGAGTGGGAGAAACCGTCTTCACAGCTATCACGTCCTTCTGGATCATCTCGCGTCCTTTGACACCTTCCTCACTGTACTTGTTCGTGAACTCAGGCACATTCGTTCACCAGCCGCGAATTACAATAAGAATAGTACATAAATTTACTCCAATAGAGGAACCTAATGCTCCGCCTTCTTCCCCTTCGAGTTCTCTACCCTTTGGTTATTGACTGACCCAGCAACTGACCCATTCACAACGTCTGTTCCTGTTTGGCCGCATAGACCGGCCTATCATATCACCCAGTACCAGTCTGAGAAGCAGCAACATCACTGTTCTCTCCTGTCCGCCGAACCTTCGATGAGCGCTCCTCATTCGAACCCTCGTCTTTATCAACCTCGTCAATAGACTTCTTAGTTGCCGTGCCCCTTGGAGGGACATATTCACCAGAGTTGTCGGCGTCGTGTTCAGGAGGGTCATAGTCGGCATAGTTCTCTTCTTTAAGACCATCGAGTGCCCATTCGACTTCATCATCCTCAATACCTTCATGTGCGGGCTGGTCTTCCAGTTGAAAGAGTTGAATGTCCGTGATAGCTCCCATAACTGCCTTCTCCAGAACCTGTTCGAAATACCGTTCTCTGAATGGATTGGCAAAGTGTTCGTGTTGAGGAAAGTATTCCTGAGCCTCCGCAGATCTGTACGCGGCGCAGAGGAGTTTGCGAAAGAACCCGAGTGCTGCTGTTACAGCCTGAAATTTGTCGGGAAGACATGAGATCAGAGCAATATATTGTTTTGGATGATTGAGAAAGCTAAAGCGTGCATTAGACCCCTCGGCGTAATGTGAGAATAGGGCATTAAAGTGTTCCCTCTGTAGCCGCTGGGAGTCTTGATCCCTTTCTATGGTCGGAGGCTCTGTGGTAAATAACGAGTGGACACCGATCCACCAAAGAGATTCTGTATCATGATAGAAATTATGAAGGAAGGGTGTGGGAAGTAGCTCCGGCACCACGACAACTTGTTGGGCCGCGAAGAACGAGTCCATTCCCGAGGCCACGGCGGCGACGTCGTCCTCTTCCGTTGTTTCGAAGAGATACTGTTTACATTGAACCTCCGCGGCCATGAAAATGGGCGTTCCCTGCATTAAGAAAATCAGATACGAAAACAGGTGTGATATTAAGGCAGGTGTACTGTTTTGGGATCGCTCTTTGGATCCTCGGATAAAAACAGCTTGGCATATTCCAAGTCCGATATCTTTCCTCTGTTGCCTGAGCAAAGTAAAATGTTCCCTGACGATATGTCTCTGTGCACGTAGGAAGCGATGTATAGATATCTCAACCCTGAAATAATCGTTTTAGCTGATTACAATAACAAATAGAAAAGGATTCTGACCTCTACAGGCATGGAGGAGTCCAGTGAATAGCAGTTGCTGATCCTGGACCTTATCGAGGGGATTACCAACTTCGGAGAACAAAACCCGAACGTGTTTACGTCCAGTATACTCCCGCTGTGGATGATGTTGTTGAATTCGACTAGATAAATGGCCTCCCGCGGGATCAGCAGTATTTAAGAGAATGGATGTCGACCGTTTCGATGCCGCAGAAGAGCTCAGCTGACGTTTTACATCATACATACGGTATGCGTCCGATAGAGGTGGTATGACATCTTCCGTTTTGTCGGTGCGAGTCACCACCTCGCATGCCTTGATTTCCATGAAGTACTGTTTATAGAGGGAGGGATCCTTCTTCGCCTCAGGGTCATTAGCTTCGATCTGCTCGAATATATCCTTCTGAATCTCGTTCTCCATCCGCGAGGCGAGGGGTATCCAAAAGTCCTTGAGCGCACATTCCTGCTGTTTCTTCCGGTCCCTGAGTTTTCGAACAGTCCACACTCTAGTCGCACGAGATAAAATATGAGATGCTCGAAAAGAGCTCAGGCATTCAACTGTCCGGTACGTCTCCCCGTCGATGAGATAATCATACTGAATCCGATAACGAGCTGGACTGGCTTTGAGCGGGACTGCTACTCTCGTGATTGAAGAATCGTAGCCTAGGTCTTCCGTGCTGCCAAACGACATCGATACAACGTAGTGTATCAAGTGACGGTAATCCTAGAGTAAGGTCAATCAATGCCAGTCGGCTAACAAATGTATATCCACGTACCAAAATAAAATTAAAGGGTTGTGACAAGAGCACAATAGCTCTTGAGAAGAACCAAAGCCGGGTCGTAGTATTCGCGATCGTCATTCCAAACATGAATCGTCGGCAGGGATCAGCATACATCATCTGGGCCGCATTCCCAAGAATTTTCTTGTTATTCTGCACATCGTACGTAGTCGTCAGCTTCAGCCAACCATTGAACAGTAACACATCGCCTACATCGTTTTCGTCTTCCCAAGTGTCCTTGAGCTTGTATTCCTCAATTGCAACACGGTCGCATGCCAATGCAGCCTGTGATGCGGGGCAAATCAGAAATTGAAACACATAGGAATAAAATAATGTTCACCTTGCGTTCATATGGGCACGGTTTTCCGTACCGGGTAGACGACTCGTCACTTACAACGCGGGCACCCTTGGACTCACACAACGCGTAGTGTCCGTCAGATATAAACTGCCCGTTACGACCTTCAGAAAGGGCGGCTTGCGTTGGCCGGGTCTGCATTACCGCAGTCGGATCGCGGTGCAGCAAACTCTTTGCCTCTTTGACAATAGCCGCAGCGATGGTTTCGAGACGTTTAAAACACGTATTCTCGTTCGTTTCCATGCAAGGATCGGTAGGGAACACAGTCCATCGTCCGCTCGGTTGAAGATGTCCGTTGGCTTGTAAACGAGTGGTAATGTCATCGATTTGTGTGGGGCTGATGACCTTGGGAAGGACGGTGCGCTGAAACGCGTCAAGAGATATAAACGGTACATTTCGGACCTCATCCAGGATAGAACCATCCATTGTAGATTCGGCGTGGGTATTATTATCGGTGATGCGAGCGTGACGGGGCACGTCCTTGATTGCAGGGGGAACACACTAATTGGTAGAGAGCTAACCGACATAGTGGACGACACTGTTAGAGAGAACAAATCGAAGACTTCTATTTCGTACCGGCGAATGAAAACACGTGACCACTACAGGCAATCAAGCTGCTTTCTTCTGATTTTGAGCGAAATGCAAGGAACAAGGTAAAATAGGCGTCAGAGAGCGGTTTCGTGAGTTGAGGGACGATCAACGATCGCCGCCAAATTATGCCACACAACGACGGTAACCGAGTCGGAGGTATCAGTTAGCAACTCCTAAGTTATTTCCCCATACTCGATTCATTCCTCCAATTCTCGTAACAAAGCATGCCCCTGCAGTAAGGCCCAAAGATCGTTGGCGTGGAGTCTGAACCAGATTAATCACGATCACTGCTCTTTAACCCAATCTGACTCGTTCGAATTCGTTGTGAACCACTACCCCTTTTATGCTCGAGAAATCTGAGAACAGGGCCTTACTCGATTCTTCTCCTTTACGCCTCAACAGCGCTACCTTTCAGTAACGCCAGAAGACCTTTCTTCCGTATACAACCTGGCGCCAACATGCGACCACCCACACCGATCCCTTCCCACAGGCCCCACGACGACAAGGAAATAACCAGTTATCATTATCGGCAAGGGGCTCTCAGAGACGGTATGGCTCGAGCCATGCTGCGCCTCGAACGACAACCCAACAAGGGTCCCTATCTCGTCGCTACCGGCGTACCACCCCAAGTCTCCGACGAATGGTCCAGCGATGACTCGTGCGTTTGATTCCCGTGTCTGTGACATTTGCTGAATAGCCTGTACGTAGCGCCTACCATCTGCTCTACGACCACGACTCCCACTCAGTCTTCACATTCCAAGATCCTTCCCCGCAGCACGACGCAGCCGTCGAGCAATTCAAGGCTGCCTTCCAGAAAGGCTTCATAGACCTGTACAACAGCAAATCCTCCACCCTGATCATCTGGACCGGAGATCACCTCTACATGTCTGGCTCAGTCTGAAAGAGCCCGATGCGAAAATCCGCATAATCAACCCGCCTCTTCGGAAACCCCGCCTGGTTCCCTGCCTCGTCTTCGAATGCGCGTACATGAACGAAGACGAGGCTACCTTGGTTTCCGAGGTCCTTGGATGGGCCGATCGCCAGTTTTCTGTGGGTTTGAAGATTCGGAACGTGGCGGGTTGGCCGATGACTAGACTCGTGGGTTCTTTTATGGTCCTTCGGTGGCGTGTATTGACTGTACTCACCGGCAGCTCGACTGACATTCTATACTGCTGATAAATGTGGGAGGGTCGTTACGCGATACACTCTTCCTCATGATGCTGTGGATCCTCGCTCCGCCGCTGTGAACCCTTCTACAGTGAGTCTGGACGACATGGAACGAGTGTTCAAAACCGACGATACGCCGCTGGACAGTTTTGAGAATGTACCAGACCCGGTGGGCAAACTCGAAAAGTGCTACAAAATGCTTGGGCTGTCTTCGAAGCTGTCAAAGGATATCAGTATTTTTGAACGGTTCAGGGCGCAGCGGGAAGAAGGTCAAGAGTGCGAAAGCGATGATGAAGGAGAAGATGATGGTACGTCTC